TTCCTTCCTTCCTTCCTTCCTTCCTTCCTTCCTTCCTTCCTTCCTTCTTCCCTCCCTTACCTGCTTCTCCAGGTGAAGTACCAACGTGGGCTCAGGAGTTAGAGCAACCCCAGAGTAAGAGACAAGGCTGCCCTGAGTGGTTGTTCAGGGCAGTCATTCGCAATAACCAGGGGAGAGACCCAAGGCCAGGATGGGAGGGGGAAAGGGCATGGGGCAGTCCACCCAGAGTAGGGAGTAGGGAGAAGTGATACCCAGGAAGGTCCAGGCCATGAGCTAGATGTCATGTTCAGCACTTGCACCTACATCTTCCCCATGCGTTCTTATCACAACTGAGAAGAGAGGTCCGCATTTCACAGATTAGGAAACTGGGCTGGGATAAAGAGAGAACAAAAGGCTGGAGGCAGATGATGAAGTCCCCAGACTCCACAGTGGGTAAAATGTCGCTGTCCAGGATGAGCTTCCTCCTGTTGCCAAGATAACCATTTCCAGGGAGCCTACACCACTGCAGTCTGGTAAGCTATTTTCTCACCGGAGCTATTTTCTCACTGGTGTTCGTTTCTGGAGCTGTCTGGTGCCAGGAATGCTTGGTAAGGAGGAAGAGGGTTACTATGGCTTTAAATCATCTTGGCATGTCAAGTATGTGTGCCATAAGATTTATTCAGATAACATCTGTATTACACAGTGAAGCATCAAATTTAGAACATTAGAGTAACTCAGACTTCTGTCCTTTTAATTAACCCATTAGTGGAGCTAAAATATGGCTTTTATTCTATGATTAATAGACATACTCGTTTTCTAAGATTAATGGAGGTAATTCTATGCGGTGTTTAAATTAATCTCAACAGTTTTTGTTGGACATCTTGATAAAAAATAATTTAAAATATGTATTATTTAAACTATCACTTTCAAGAGAATCAGGATCAAAGAGGATACTCAATGTCCTTTTATTCCTCACCCAGAACATACACTTCCATTTGTCTTATGCTTCCATTTCTCACCTAAGAGCCCTCTGTCAGAAGCTCAGCTAAGCTGGAGAGACAGCTGAGCTGTCACATGTCAGAGATGCCATTAAAGCAACAAGTCCAAAATGAAAGAGTTAAGCTTGTGAACATTTACTGTGATAAGCAAGAGAAAACTCTGACTGTCCCTGTCCCATTTTCCCTTGTGGAATGGCACACTGATGGAAGATCAGTGGATCAGTGTATGTATGGGGGTCATCTCACTGAGGAGTCCCCAGATAGCAGGCTTCTGCAGTTTTTATGGCCTTGAAGGCCCAGGAAGCTGGTAGAGGGTGGAGGGAAGGGCTAGAAGTGAAGAAGTACTCAATACTAGTCTGGGTGGGGAGAAGTGTCCTTGAGGTATATCTCCTTCCCTAACCCCATAAGGAGGCCGTGGCAGAAGCACCTGAAGACCTCTGCTTAAGGCTTCAGATAAGACCTAGAATGAAGGCACCTGTGCTAGGAACTCAACCATGCAAAGAGCACGGCAGGCCAGATGGCCCAGAGTCCTTGACCACAGCTTCCCTTAGAGACATCGATGCACTGGCTGGGCATCAAGTCTGGTGTGGGAATGGCAGTCTTCCCCTGTGAGGCCTGTCAGGCAAAACTTGTAATTGCATACGGTTGGGCCTGAAAAATCACACACAGGTTTGTAACCAATCACAAGAAACCTCTGCCATACCAGCAACGTACTAGTTGTGGTCTAGGTGTAAAGTACAATGGGTTTGGTGGCCTCTTAATCCACTTAGGCAGTTTGGATCATAGTCATTTCCTGTGGGAGGAGAATCATTGAGGGGTATTTCATCTCTAGCACTTAAAATGTATTGTTTTAAAATTATGGGATTATGACCCTCTAAGGGTGATCGACTTTTAGAGAAGGAGCGATTTTCTTACCGAAAAATTATATAACAATCACCTACTTTCTTTTTTAAACTTTATAGAAAGTTTGAAAATTTCTACATAGGCTGGGGTCACAAATATAGTCCAGACAACTATACACCCCCAGCTCTACCACCAGTGTATCAAGAATACCCCAGTGGAGCAGAAACTACAGAAATGGATGATCCTACTGTGGAAGAAGAGCAGGCTTTCAGAGCTGCACAAGAAGCAGCTGTTCTTTCAGCTGAGGAAAATGAAGAAACTGAGGGAGACGAAGAGGAGGATGATTATGACCAAGAATAAAATTAGCCCAGGTTTGTGTAAAAGTGATCCACATATACCTTATGGGGAACCGATTTTATTTTATTTTATTTTATTATTTTATGTATTTTATTTTATTTTATTTTATTTTATTTTATTTTATATTTTTTATTATTTTATATTTTATTTATTTATTTTATTTTAATTTACTTTTATTTATTTAATTTTATTTATTAATGTAATTTATTTATTTATTTTAGAGAGAGAGCGAGCACAGAGAGGGGCAGAGAGAGCCAATCTTAAGCAGGTTCCACACTCAGCACAGAGTGCAGGGCTCAATCCCACAACCCTGGGATTATGACCTGAGCCGAAATCAAGAGTCAGACTTTCAACCCATCCAGGTGCCCCGGAACCTGTTTTACATACATAACTGTAGCATATAATTACATAAATATTGGCAACTATTATGGTGCAAAATGTCATTCCTTGAAAATGTCAAGTTTGGAATTTCATACGTGCAGCTATTAATATGTACTTGTAGAAGGAAGCTCAATGGATTTTCCGGAGGCTAGATGATATGTTCTTACATCACTGTTCTGATGACTACGGCTAATAGAGGCATGTGTATTCTTTAAAAAAAAAAAAAAAAAAAAAGTTTTAATTTCTAATATGGCAAACCTGGGAAGATGTAATCCACAATACCTTCTTGGTGGTCTTTAATATATTTTGTGTCAATGGGAACTGTGACCAAAAATATTGATAATCACTGAATTAAAGCATGTACTTTTAACCAGCCTGATACTATATGCAAATATTGCATATGTATGTATGTGTGGGGGGGGTTGGTTTTGTTTTGCTGGGGAGAGGATTTATAATTCTATCACCTGCCCAAAGACTGGGAACGCTCAAAATGTTAATACTTTTTGTTACTTCTTTAAAAAATGCTCTCAGTCTGACTCCTTTATCCTAAAAAAAATCGGTTTTATATGATCTGCACAGAGATGGCTAGCTGGGATATCCAAAGACTTAAGATTACTGTTTTTGTAGCACTGCATCTCTAAAACTAGTTATTATTTCCATTCCTAAAAATGTATTTTTAAGTCCTCTTTGTGCTGGACACTCTGAGATTACTTTTAAAAACTAGACATTGCTCCTGAAATCTTAGAGCTTCCATTCATCAAGGAAGGAAGTATAAAAAGAGAAATAGAAAATTAGAATAGGTTGCAACTTAGCAGCTACTGTGCAATAAATATCACAGGATACCACGGAACAGTGCTTCTTAAATCCTGTGACGTACCAATTTAAAAATTAAAATTCGACTCCAATGTCATTATTTTGGAAAATAAAATATCACAATTCTAATTTCTATAATTATCTTGTCAGAGTGCCAGTTCACAAAACACTGATCTATGCTTAAAAAAAAAAAAAACAACACTGCTATCAAACACTTGCAGGGTGCATTTAACCTGGATTTCAGCCATGAAGAAAGCACTCCCAAGAGGTGGACAACTAAGGGGAGAAGGGTCGTAGGTAGCATAAGCTATTTTTTTGGCAAAGGACTCTAGGCTGGAAGGAGTGGAACTTTGAGAGTGGTGAGAGACGAGTCTGGAGGTAAGCAGGGTCCAGATTGTTGGAATCCAGGAGCAATGAAGAGGACTCAGGTAGGAAGTGATAAAATCGCATCTATACTTTAGAACATTTGGCTTATATGTGGAAGACTAATACAGAATCAAGACTGGGAGACTAGTTAGGGGGTTATCACATTATCTAGATAAGAGGAAATGGTGGCATGAAACAGGATAAAGTAGAAGCCTGGTTACCAGTCTGAAGGACAGAATATTAGAATGGATGATTTCCAGAATTTTCCAATTGGCAATATTATTCATTCTTAGGAACGCAGCTTTTACTATTTGATGGAGTAGATGATATTTATAAAACTTCAAGTATGTTCTTTTTATTCATGGTGTTGCCTTTGGTTGTTGTTGTATAATATCCATTTTCTTATCTACCGTCCCATGGCATAGTCTCCTGCCAATCAGATGTGCCCTCTCTAGAATCTGAATTTTGTACAGAGACATTCTACCTTGGCTCCTAGACGGATTATTCTGCTGTAAATCTAGCCTCTAGAACTGCCTTTGTTCCAGCACAGTTTCTTAGTTACCTGTGTCTTCTCTGAGCTCTTGACAATCTTTCAGTGAATTCCCTTCTGCTCAAATTGGCTCTAGTAGGATGCCTGCTTGCAACCTTACTTGATACATCCAACATGAATCTGAAAGTTTCTTTCCTACAGGACACATTAAACACGAAGTTCCAATTCACAGTTGTATGGGTAAGGTATAAACATTTAACAAAAGCAAATCCCTCTGTTAAATATTAAGGTTATTTCTAAGTAATGAGCGGGGAATTTCATTATATATGTTTTACAAGAGAAGAGAGCAGAATGTTATAATGGAAAGAGCTTCAGCTTGGAAATGAGAAAGCCTGGGTTCACACCCTGGATTACAACATTTTCTTGGGCAAATTACTAACCTTACAGACATTCAGCTTCCTCACAGGACTAACGGAATTTGTCTCACAGAACTATTTTGAAGATTAAACTAATTAATACATGGAACATACTAAGAATACCTAACACCACTAAGGACCTAATAAATATTACATATGACTATCATACAAAACCAGTTTCTAAAATACGGATAAGAGAGGAAACACAGAATTCATAATGCAAATGAAATAGTTTATTGAAATAATTACTGAACAATGAGGTACTCAAGGTATGATTTAGACATTTTATAAATTAAATTACAAGTTGAGTATTTAGAGAATTCAGACTCATAAGTTGTATTAGGGAGTTTAGTACCTCGATTTGGAAAATAAAGTAAAATTCCATAGTCACTGACATGCTTAATTCTTCAAGGAATCTTCTCAGCTGTAAAGACTTGAGATGCTTGTCTCCTGGCCTTGAAAAGGAATTTTAAAAAACTGTTAATTTTAAGCAAGAAGTCCATTATTTAGAATACATATTATTTATCGAACATAAAAAATAAAATCTGGAAATTTTTTCAAGATAATGAAAATTCCTTAAGAAAACTTACAACTTCAAACTTAGGTGATTAGGGATAAACATTTTTAAAGCCAGGCAAAAAAAGAAATTAAACAAAAATACCAGATGAAGACAAAACAGAAAGTAAAAAGAAAATGTCACTATTTTAAGGAATAAGGAGTCAAAAGTAAAAATGCAGGGCCCCTGGGTGGCTCAGTCGGTTAAATGTTCAACTTCAGCTCAGGTCATGATCTCATGGTCTGTGAGTTTGAGCCCCGTGTTGGGCTCTGTGCTGACAGCTCAGAGCCTGGAGCCTGCTTCAGATTCTGTGCCTCCCTCTCTCTGCCCCTCCCCGACTCACATTCTGCCTCTCTCTCTTTCTCTCTCTCTCAAAAATAAATAAACATAAAAAAAACTATATTTTTTAAGTAAAAATGCTGGCTCACAGAAAGAGACATGTATAAACAGATAAAGAAATTATCTCTAAACGTGTTCTATCTTCAGAACTTGAGTTACATCAAGGCTAATTTACCAAGCTAATTTAAAACAAAGTTAAATCTAGAGTGCAAGGATTACACAATGGAAAACAAAGAATGCAGTGATGTAATTTAACCACAATGTATCAAAATATGAAAAGAATTGAGGAACATGGCTATTAAATAGATTTGTATGCATTACTGAACTGAAATGCATTAGAAGTTATTTTCTAACATAACTGCTTTTACCTAAACAAGTACTTGAACATCTACAACAGTTTGGAATTATTAGATACTCAAAATATGGTAGGAATGTATAAGGTAATTATAAGACAGCTGCCAGGATAAAACAAATTTTTGTGAAACTTGATTCCTCTCCTTGAGTAAGAGCTGCATGATTATTACAATATTGTAATTAATTAAACTCCAAATATGAAGAACAAAACATAAAATTCAGTTACAAACATCTACATTTTGGAATATTTTAAAATACTAAATTTGTTCTGAAATTCCTACAATTAAAATCATAGTTCTCACTTAGGGAAAAGACGTTTTAAAATGAGCTATAAAAAAACAAAAACAAACATGAAATAAAAGTAAAGTCATTAATGTGCCCTTAAGGTGCAGGTTTCTACCTGGTGATATCCAGATCAATCAGTATACCAGTGTTTGCTGTCTTCCTAGAGTGTATAAAAGCACTGTTAAAAATGACAGAATAACTAACTGTAAGACACAGTGATTAAAAAAAAAAAAAAAAGGAAGAAACAAAAACATAGGCTTGAAAGCAACATGCAAAAACGTTTATTGATTTTTTTTTTATTTTTCAAAAATAGTATCCTAGGGGCACCTGGGTGGCGCAGTCGGTTAAGCGTCCGACTTCAGCCAGGTCACGATCTCGCGGTCCGTGAGTTTGAGCCCCGCATCAGGCTCTGGGCTGATGGCTCAGAGCCTGGAGCCTGTTTCCGATTCTGTGTCTCCCTCTCTCTCTGCCCCTCCCCCGTTCATGCTCTGTCTCTCTCTGTCCCAAAAATAAATAAACGTTGGAAAAAAAAAAAAATTAAAAAAAAAATAGTATCCTATGTTTTCAACATGAAAGTGAATTGTTCACGCATAAGCTTAATTAGCAAACATGAAAATGATAAGACTTTGTATTCTTACAGAAGAAGCAATATAGGGCAGGACTCTGGATGTAAATGGACTGAATCGGAATCCTGCCTCCTGTCACTTAGCAGCTGCGTGACTTTAGAAGTATAACAACTTTTCTGAGCATAAACATCCTCATTTGTAAAATGGAAATAATAGTGCCTACTCTATAGAGCAGTCATACAGCTATTAGTTAATATATGTGTAAAGTGCTTATGATGGTGCCCAGCATAAAATAAGCATTATAAAGTGTTGCTTTATTAAAATTACAATTATATCATATTATCATTTCTTCTCTATCTGGCACTGTTGCACATAGTCAGCCAAGTTCTAATTCTTTCGGTTAACAGCTACTCCCCATGACTCACAAAAAAAAAAAAAAAAAAAAGGA